AAAAAAAAAAATCACACTCACATACTTACAGACAACTTGCCCAAAGGGATTATTTTTTGCCTTTTGCTTGGGATTTTTTTTATGAACTTACTAGTTACTTATTTTACAAGCTGTTGATCAAACATAGGTGGATGCACCAGACAGCAGCTTCTGGCCATCACATGCAGAGAACCAGGAACCTTGCTCCTGCACTGCAGAGTAGGATACTTGAAACAAGATACTCTTTATCCAAATGCATGTTTTGGTTCTCTAAAATAAACCTTTTTATTCTTGCATTGTAGAGAGAGGCACAATGTTACCCTGCTCTGGAATCACATTTGAAAACAAACAACTGCTGTATTCACAGAATAAACCACTGGAGAATGTGTTGTGAAAAGCAGAGAAAGGACCTTCTTTAATATCCTACCAGCAAGAATTTGAGTCAGTGCTGTAGGATAGTCTCATATTCTCCAGCATAGTAAGAGCATCTAAGAAGACTCTCAAAACCTTTTGAACTAGTTTAGCAAGTGTTGTCTAGCAAAACTGGAGCACTTGGCACTGAAGGGATCTGAGAGACTGAACTGTAACCAGTCTCCACCGTCCACTGTGTCAAGAGATTGGTGTGAGAAGCTGAGCTAAGACTCCACCATCCATTGTCTCAAGGATTGGTGTGAGGAACTGCTGTCCGTCATCACAAGGACTGCTGACAGACATGCACAAGACCAGCAAAACTGGATGCACATGATCCACCAGGAATGTGCAGTAGGTGACATTAAGAACAGAGGTACTTCCCCCTAATGCATTACAAAAGGAGGGAAAGGTAATTGCTGTTGGGGGCACCCACCACCAAAGATGACAACTACGGACCCTCGGGATGCTGCTGGATCCCAGTGGTGACTATTTCTCTCTGCACTCTGAATTCTTGCTTCATTTCTGTCCTTCTTACGATCTGTCCTATCGCTTTTTATAATAACCATCTTCTTTGCAACCATTATACTTTTATAATAATCAAACTGACTGACTGCAGTACTTGACCTTGTCTGTGTCTTAATTTCACTCTGGGGATCATGAACAGAGTATTCCTGACACTGGGTTTTATCCAGTCAGACCCTGGGGGTTGGAACTAGATGATCTTAAGGTCCTTTCCAACCCTAACTATTCTAAGATTCCATGACAGGGGAGAAGGAAGGGTTTTAAACATCCATAATATCATTCTAATCTGACAACTTTGATCATAGTTTTACCCCCAAAGATGCTCATAACAAAAGTCGTAAGAGACTGTTTAAAGAAATCTAGTTTGCTCTTTCTCCAAAGTTATAGTCTTCACTAAATGTGTCATCGAAGCAATTCAGCTACACACACAAGCAGTGTAGCTAAGCAAGGCATTTTCAAGCAGATTTAAACTTCACTTATATTTGTTTTCTCTAATTGTGTAAAGGATTTGATTCAGTGTATCTCAAAGTGGAAAACTAGTTGGATCTGCAATACTTTACTATTTAACATTTTAGTCTTTTGAAAAGGAAAACATTCCTTTAATTTCAAAAATTAAAGAGAAATATAAAGTTATCCAATTCATCCATGAGGCAGGAGGGGTGGGGGGGATGCTGCATTACCCAGAGTTTGGCCTAAACACCAGGTTTTAAAGTATGTTTTATTCAAGGACAGACAAAATGGTAACATCAATGCAAGCAAAGAAAAGTAAACTATTCCCACAAAGAAAACCTATTTTTCTCCAATAAACACTAGGGATAAAAGGTAGTTCATTCAGGCAGGGCATAAATTATCACAGTATACAGAAAACACAAGCTGTTTGAATTGTTAACCTACTATAATGCAACCCTATGTTTACAGCAAAATCATTTCATGGGTTTTGAATATATATAGAAGGCCTTTTTCCCTTTTCAAGCCCCTGAGTGGTCTTCTGAAACCTAATCTGAACTGACATGTCTGCAGTCATTTGAATTGCATTTATATGCCATGAACTTTTAAAATGAAATAAGATGGTGGTGGGTGAATCTGAAGTCTTCTTAAAAATGGCTTTGGGGACTTTCTGTAAACATATCATTTGCCTACCAACCATTTCTGAAAAGGTGTTAAAGGTATTCTTCCTTTCAATTAAAGGACAAATTTTATGTGGGAATCAAGTTAGCAATGCTTTCTATTTTAGTGTATTATACTATTATTAGATGACATAAAACCTGATCTTTCCCAAGTGCTCCCTAACTGACTCAAAATTATCTAAGTCCTCTCCTTTAATTTAAGGTGACTCCTCTATGTTTTTCGTTTTTCAAAGTTATACACTATGGCATAATAATTTCAACGCACAGATCATTCATTAGCCATTTTTAGCAATATAGGCTGAAAAGTTTATTTCCAGATTCAGAAATCTTCACAGAATCCCACCATTTCCAAACATATTTGTTTGATTCTATTCATTTTAAACATTGTTTAGATTTGTTTTCGTGAATGAAAAGGCTTGACGGTGAAAGGATTAACTTTCAGGCTGTCAGCTTACATAAAGACACAGTAACAGCTGAATCATCCTTTTCTTATCCTTGGAGGTCAGCAAGCTATACAAACATTTAGATAACAATCAGTCAAAACTAGAGTAATTCAGCTATTTTTATCCCCCAAACTCTTTTTTTTCCACTAGTCACTAGACATAAATGCAGATTAATCCAACTGAACTGCCAAAGAAGTGCTCCATATACCAACAGATCTTTGGTTTGTGGGCAACTTGGTCTTCCTGAGCTTTAATAACTGAGGGATTATTATTGCCTACTGAAGTCAGCAAGACAACTGCATCACTTACTGCACTTTGGGGAGTACTGAGGTGGGAGAAAAACATCCAGCGAAATCCTGTCTTCATGATGTAAAAGAAATATCTTCTACTCATTTAACTGAAGCAATGATTTAACTCAGAAATTATGTTCCAAAACTCAGGAACTTAACTTTTAATAAATATGGAATTTAATTTTAAAAGGAGAAAAAGAGTAAAATTTCCATGGGCAAACTATTTACTTTCTATGTAGTATTCACTATTCCAGAATTAGGCTCTGTCTTGAGTAATTTAAGTAGCAGGATTTAGGAGGAGAAGACTTCCTACCTGGCAGACAAGCCCAGCTCATTCCGAAAACCCAGCAATTCAACCAGCTACTTCAGAAGCACATCAGTACTTCCTGACTACTTGATACACACATTGAGAGTCATTTTATCTTAATGTCTGGGAAGCTTTCCTCTTGAGCATACGAATGTCTACAGAAATATTTGCTTCCCTATGACAGGCACATTTTACAGGAATAATAGCAGTTTATCATATTCTAGTCATAAACTTGTTCTGAAACAAGTCTGTATCCTTACATACAAGACTGGAAAAGACTTCCTAAAAGCTTATTTCTGGTTACTAAAAGAAAAGTCAGAGTAACAATGCAGATGACCTACTAAACAGCATCCATTAGAAAACAATCTGCCAGTTGCTAGAAATCACTAAACACTAAATACATACCAGACTTGAAATTTTGTTTAAAAGAATCAAGTTCCCATGCAGCAAAAGACTAAGGCACAGGCAGTTGTGCTCGATTATATATAGATAAAATACAATTTAACAAATACCAGCGATTTTAAAGATATGCCAAGACTTGAAAGACTTGTTTCAGTCCTGACACAAAACAGGCGAGATAGTTTGATGGAAGCCACTATTTTTAAGTAAGACACAAACACAATCTCTGTGCAGTCTCTGTTTCAAAAGGGACAGGGAGAGTACAATTTTCACTTGTTCTGTTACCATGAGTCTACAAAATGGGTTGGTCCCCAATATCTTCTTATCATCAGGCCTATACTAAAGAACCAAGTGCACTTTATGGTTAAATGAACTAACACTGAATGCCTTAACTGTGTTATGCACAACGTGGAAACATAATAGCCTTCCAGCAGTTATTCAAGTAGCCTTTCTTCATAACATTCAGTGGTATTTGTCAGTCTCCTAGAACCTACTATTTTACCTTCTCTACCTCTATACCAATTAGGTTAGTTCAGAAAGTCAGCAGAAGTAATGATGCAAGGTAAGAATGCTTTTGACTAATCAAAGATCATAGATTTACCTTCTGCAAGCATGTCTGGCACATCTGCTTGATAGCGAGGCCCCACTCGGATTTCTCCCTTGTCTGCTAAAAGCGTTTTCAGTGATGGATCATACACCAGTGAATAAAAAAAGGTATCCTAAAAAAGAAGACACATTTGCAACACCATAATGGTTTTTCTTCAACCCTCCATGCATGCTTTAAGAGAGCAAAGGTTTGGTACAGTAAGCCTTATTTGAAATAAGGAGGATGTTTCATGAGTACTTTCAGTAATGAGAAGATTCATACAGAAAAATGTATCAGTGGGTTTGAAAAGAATTAATGTTAACTGCTTTCTGAATTTCACATGTATCCTCTCAAAAATCACTACCTGATTGACTTTGCATTATAAATTAATCTGGAAAGAGCATAAAAACACTGCCAGTGTCTGAAAAGGGCTTACACAAAAATACCTGCTGCAGTCACCTGAAGAATCAGTCAGTCCTGTTCGCAGAAAATTATTACTGATTACCAGTAGTTTTGGTGTAGAAATATATGGACATGCTCATTTCAGGTAGAACCCACTGCCTGATGTATTCAAACACTCTGAAGAAAGATATGTGTATTTTGAGGGTATTTTGCAGTACAATTATCTTTCAAATTCTCAGGAAGTTTCTTCTCCCCTGGTAACACTCAGAATTTTCAGTCCCTTCCACTAGAAACTAAAGGTGAGGAGATATTGCCATGCAATAATTCAGAGACCTTAGAATTCAACTCCTTGGCTAAGCTGCCCTCAGGAGCCTCTCTTGCTCTCTCTGTCCATTAACTACAGAATATTCTTCTTTCTAGAATCCATCTGGGGGAGTGGGAAGGGGAAGGAAAAAGAAAGAGATAAAGCAAAAAGATAAAATAAGAGGGGAAAAAGGCACCACGTGAATTCCCCCTTCAGTGTCTGTACAGGAGAAAGCCTGGATCATTTTCTTTTATAATACATGTTACGTACTACTTTGAATTGATGATTTTCAAAATACAACCACATTTATCCAAAACCCATCATGTAAGAGTGGCAAAAAAATCTTTATTCAATAACATTTTTCGAATCAGTGTTTTCTACAATGTAATTTTTCTAACTTATCATTCAAGAAAAGATCTTCAAACTATTATCTGCCCATTTATTATTAACACAGCCATAAAAAAAAACCCCAACACATAAACCCATCCAGTATTTACCCAAAAAGAAGTCATGTCTTACCTCTTTCTCCAGGTATGACAGCACAGATTCGGTCTCATTCAGAAGTGCAACACTGCATTTTCCCCTACACAAACGTAAGGAAGGACTATTACTTTGTAAAAAGTTCAATTTTTTATGAGGTCGAGAAGTTATTACCAGAAAATATTTAAAACTATTACATTATTTTTTTTATATAATATAAAATGAACACTGCGATACTTTTGAGGTACCAAAATTAACATCAAAGCAACCAAATGAATGAACACATGTCCTCAAATACACAGGAATTCTGCCAAACTGGGGAATAGTTTCAGACAGAGAGAAGCAATGAAGGAACAAGAGGTACTATGGCAAACAATAAATACATATACAGTTACAAATGCTTGGATGAGTGAAGCATCACCTCCCAGTGGCTCAGCCCCAGTTCAGTTCCTAATTTGAAAACAACCCAAAGTAGAAAGAAACAATGGAAGCTTTTGCCACTGGCCTGTAAAATACTGTTCTTTTTTGAACTGAATCATGGAATTCTATCCATTTCTCCTATGACCACATTAAAACGCTAACTAACACATTTCAGTGCAGGCTGCCAAAAGCTTCCTGTTATTCAGCAGTGGTATAGATCCGCCCATGTATAACATCAGTAGATAATATCACAATGGGGGTTTGACCACACTGCCCCAACCCCTTCTTTATCCCCTTCTCCCCCATTTCTTCACCCTCAGACTCCTCTGCCTACAACTTCACTGATTCTCTCAATATAACATTAAGCACGATTAGTAAGTAGAAAGCCTAGAGAAGAGAAGTTGCGTGGAGACCTCAGAGCAGCTTCCAGTGTCTGAAGGGTGCTACAAGGATGCTGCAGAGGGACTCTGCATCAGGGACTGGAGCGACAGGACAAGGGGTGATGGGGTCAAACTGAACCAGGGGAAGTTCAGGTTAGTTATAAGGCAGAAGTTCTTTATTGTGAGGGTGCTGCAGAGGAAGCTGTGGCTGCCCCATCCCTGGCAGTGTTCAAGGCCAGGTTGGACACAGGGGCTTGGAGCAACCTGCTCTAGTGGAAAGTGTTCCTGCTCGGGGCAGGGCACTGGCACTGCATGAGCTTAATGTCCTTTCCGACACAAACCGCTCTAGGATTCTATGTGGATGAAAAATGCTAAGTGTGCTGAATCACCTTGCTAGCAACTGCCCTTTTTATGCTATCATTTTCAACTGAACTAACATTTTATAATAATATGCAAAACTTCTTCCTTACTTCACCTTGTATTTCATGCACCTAGGTTTTATTTAGTTCCTATCAGTTTAGTCTCTTACTAGGTGGTTTCAGTGGCCTTAGAGATATGGCTATTGGACCTCTGCCCAATACTCCCTTCTCACATCGAGATGACCAGCATACAAATATATAGAAGAGAACTGTTTGCAGAGACCTCCTTGATTTTAAAATACCACCAAAGAAGTTATTGTAAAAAATTTATTTCAGTGAACATTAAGTGTTAAGCTCAACCTTAATCACTAGATGCCAAGTGTTTATCATATGGCAGATCTTCACAGCTAATGTTTTATTCATTACCATTGCACGTCCTAGGAACTGGGGTTAAACCACATGTTAAACCTGCAGTATACAACCTCCTGAAGTTCTCTTCATCTCTGCATTTGTCAGGAGAAGCACACCACCAAAGAGAGATCATGGGAAGATGAGCGAGTAAAACCTGAGCACAGTGCACAACAGCAGAGCAAAAACTACAGGAGTAGGGAAGCAGGAAACCTTCTCTATACCTGACCATGCCTTTGAATGTTATTTGAAGCTGTTGGTCTTGATAATTCCAGATCATTCACTTCTCAAAAATGAACATGTACCAAAGTCATCCTGTCAACTTTAACAGATTATAGTGTTAAAGGCTAAATGGGAGTTTGTCTTTCCAGTTCGCTCCTATTCCATACACCTCTAGTATGCCCTCTCTGCGCTACAGCCTACCCTTACTTAACCCCAGTTATTGCAGAGGCATTCTTTCATGGTGACTGCAAGATTTCACTGACTGACTTTATACTTCATGGCTGCAAGTTGAAATCATTTCATTTTATTTCATTAAGAGCCAAGATCAATCCCCCAGCATGTCTTGTAAGTGAGTGAATTTCTATTTGCTATTACATTTCTTTGTACAGTATTTTAACTATCTAATGGCTGGAGTCACACACACAAGTAACATTTTATATGCATATATGATATCTCACATGCACGACAGTCTCAAAGGAGGCAATACTAGAAATGCACACACTAGACACAACCCTAAAATGAAGAAAACCCGAAAACACCTCACCCAAACATGACAAAACAAATAAATTGCATAAAGTCAGAATCAGAAAAAGTTATCTGCATAAGTTTCCACTTTCTATAATCTAGAAACCTGCAATACCTATCACTAATGATTTAGAATATTTACCAAACAGAATGCCTACCATTTATATATCTCCTCCTCCACTTTTTCCATCAGAGGAAAATCGTCTCAGCTCACTGTAAATAGTTTACTAGGTAGAACCAAGCATCTAGCTCATTATACTGCTTCTGGCATCTCTCATAGATGCCCAGGAAATAAGTGAATACAGATTTGCAGTGATACATCTCTAAATGTTCTCCAACCACCACTGCACTTTTCACCCTTTCTTCCAATACTAGTAATCCAATGCCCTGGAGAGAAAGCTAATGTGTTTTAAACCACATGGCACACTAAGACTTGGGAGTTCTTTTTTAAGGCATGTATCTAAAAACCCAGACCTTCTCCACATTTACATATAATATTCTTCTCCTCTCAGTGTTCTGGAACTTCATTCATTAATGTTTTTAAACAATTTTGGATAACTGGGACAGATGGAGCTATATCAAATAAAGAATAGATATAAAAGGACAAAATCTGATTATTCTATCCAAGAGAAAGGGGGGAAAAAACAAAGAGGGAATGAGGAAGAAGCTACGGAGACAAGTATTACGAGTATTACTTAGACTGGAACAGTATAATGCCATAGTTGCATTGTTCTATTGATGGAGTCTTCTGCTTGAAAGGTGCCACAAAAAAATAACCAAATTAAGGTAAAAACTACAAAGAATTACCCAGCTTTTGTGAAATGAGATAAGAAACCTTCCTCTTATCTGACTGACTCTGATTTAAGCTATGTTCTTCCACCAAGCAGCATTCTTAACTGGTACCAACACAGTGAATTGCTAGCAAATAGCACCAGAAGGTCTCAATGACGTTAGGAATATATACCTGGGTTTGACCTTTTTCTCAAATTAATAATTCAGAAAAACTCTTTTTACTTCCTGCAAAATTAGGCAGAATTTCCCTTGTATGAATGTTGGGGGAAAGCCTTGAATACTTCAGTAACGTACAAATAACTGCAAACACATAAGTTAGCTTTTGTGTCTTCATGTAAAATTCAATTCTGATGAGACTGAAGTGTCCCTTCATAATCCTTTCTGCTCTTAGATGTACTTTATATTTAAACTGGTCACAAATAAGAAGTTATTCCACTGCACTGACAACAATGCCAACAAAACTTGTTATTAAATCAGGCTGCAAGAAAAACTAACTTTGAGGTCTTGCAATGAAAGGAGACAACAACTTGCCTATATATATCTGTTCAAGGTGTTACCAGCCTCTATCATATCAACCACTCGGTGTTCAGTTGCTTTCCCTAGCCTAGGAACCAGAGCTACAACTCGTAACTTTGTTCTTTTCTTTAAAGAATTAACCATGTGAAAGCTGTTTTCACATGTTACACCTTAAAATCACAGAATGGTTTGGGCTGGAAAGAACCTTAAAGCTCATCCAGTTCCAACCCCCTGCTATGGGCTGGGACACCTTCCACTAGAGCAGGTTGCTCCAAGCCCCTGTGTCCAACCTGCCCTTGAACACTGCCAGGGATGGGGCAGCCACAGCTTCTCTGGGCACCCTGTGCCAGCGCCTCAGCACCCTCCCAGGGAAGAGCTTCTGCCTTAGATCTAACCTGAACTTCCCCTGTTCAAGTGAATGATGCTGACAGACACCTACCAAAGTCTTCACAGCAATTTCAAGTTCTCCAGATTGCAAAGGTATTTACAACTGGAGAGCAAGCTATTGCACAACACTAAAACCAAGCAAAGCAAAGCATCATTATAAATCTGCAACAGACCCCTAACTAGAGCTTAACTTTTAAAATATTCAGTTGATATCTAGAAATGTCAGAAGACAGACATGCATTGTACTGATTCATACTTAACTGGCTTGAGTTTGGCTCTGCGCATTTAAGGAGATGTCTCAAACGACGGGGCAAAAAACAATCAGCATTTGATAGAGGAATACTACTGCTATCTGTCTCTCCAACAAAATGATACCAGTCTCCCAAACAGTGTAAAATTGTGTATTTGTGACCAAAAGAGACATCAATAAACTTGGTGTTACTGATTAACACAGTCTCAAAAGAATAGACTTAGGAACAGAATGCACAGCAGATTGATTCATGTACATCTAAACGAACCAATAAATAGCTGGCATCTACACGTATGGACAGTTCATATGGATGGCCCAAGCTTTTTATGCTGCATGTGGCTTTTGGACACTAAAAAAAATAAAATAAAATAAAAAAAAAAATCAGAGTTTTAATCTTTTAACCAGCAGGAGTGCTGATTTTGAGAACTCCAAATGAGTAAGAATTAAATGCAGTCTCTTGGAGCAATCACGCACAACTGACATGGATTTTCAAGTATTGCATATTCTTAAGGTTCCAACTTTCATGCAGTTGCCAAGTCACAATCTAAACAGGACAAAACATTCCCAACATGAGACAAACGCACAAAAGGCAAAATTAAAGGAGACTTTGCCATTCAGTAGCAATTTACACAGTTTCTATGTTTAAACTGCTATGCTGTTAGCTGAAGAGCCAAAACGTTCAACAACTCTACCAGAAGATCCTATCTTGAGAGTTGGAGAAAATGTTAAGAGGTAAATGTAGGGGTCTGTGAACATACATGCACTTGAAACAAGCTTTAACACATTACCCACTTAACAACCACGTTTACACTAGTACTGCTCAAGCCTACATTACTGACTGAAT